GCGTTTATAGGATGGGTATTCCATGGATCCAAAATCATCAAAACATCATTCAGAATATAAAAAAAGACGGAATCACAATGAATGTTATCCAATGATGGGTACACAACAATCATAGTAATGAAAACAATAATGACCAGTTTCACGAGAGACTGTAGTCGATCATAGAGAAGTGTCGAGAAAGGACCAAATCATGCAGATGGGAGACCCAATCGTCAAAGTTTGAATGGACAACAATCGGTATGAATATATAATGGGACGACATGAACTGACTAGGAGAAACAAACGAGAATAACGAGAGATTCGCAAATTGATGTGCACTCAACAAAATGTTTATAATTGGCACAATATTTCGCCACAAATGCATGAATTAAGCTGCATGGGTTTCACTGGACCACACTACACAAAATGGGATTGATCATATTTGCATCAGTAAAACGTCAGAAGTTCAGTGAGAGACGTGAGAATAAGGAGAGGAGCTGATGTAACTTCAGATCACCATCTACCAGATGGTTGACAAGATGAACGTGAAACTGGAGAACCACTAGACAACTGGAGAAACAGCATCACAAATATTCAACACAGCCTTCATTCGACATACTGACAAACTGAACTAATTCAAGATAACTCTCAACAACAGATTCCAAGCCTTACAAGATCATTTGGAAGAAGAGGAAATGGATTGAAGGAACACTAGTGTCAGCGTGTCAGGAGATTCCCGGCCGCAACAAGCATAATCATAGTAAGTCATCTCTGTCGAAACCATTTTCGAGATTTGATAAAGGAAGAACAAGAAGACGGTAATGAACAACAGTGGAACGAAAGCAGAGACAGTCAGGGCACAATCTGACTACATTGAAGCAATCAAGCGAGTGAAGAATGACATTGGAGTCAACAAGTGGAAATACGTGGTTGACATAGCAACAACAACGAAAAATTGTGCTAGAGAAGGAAATATGAAACAACTATATGACACAACGAAGAAATTGGTAATGAAATATAGTAAACCAGAGAGACCGTTCAAGTACAAATAAGGCAAGGCAATGACTGAGATTCAAGAAGAGAGGAACAGTTGGATAGAACAATTGAAGCAACTGTTGAATAAACCAGCTCCATTCAATACACTAGAAATCCATTCAGCACCTACAGGCATCCTTATACATCGTACTCCATCAATGATCCATAAAGTGAGGATGGCCATTAGACAAGTGAAGAGTGTAAAAATGTAGCACGACCTGACAACATACCAGCTAAACCACTGAAGTCAGACATAGTAGTACCTGCATATATGCTCCATATTCTATTCAGGAAGATTTGGTGGAGGGAGATGCAAGTGATAACACACTGAGAAGGAGAATACCATAGATATCAAGATACCAAATGAAGGAGATCTGAGCAAATGTGAGAACTACAGATGCATCACACTACTTTTGGCACTAGGGAATGATTACAACAGAGGATTGCTGAACCGGATGGAGGATTTAGTAGATGTCCATCTTCAAGATCAACAGACAGGATTCTGTAAGGATTGTTCGTGCACAGACCAAATCACGACACTACGGATCATCGTTGAATAATCAACTAAATAGAATTCGTCACTATACATCAACTTCATTGACTATGAGAAAGTGTTTGACAGAGTGGATAGGAGAACGTAATGAGAACCTCTTCAACACTATGTTGTACTGAGAAGATCGTTAACATCAACCGGAATTCATACGATGGACTACACTGCAAAGCCATTCATGGTGGACAGCTGACAGACTCATTCCAAGTGAGGACCGTCGTCAAACAAAGCTGCTCATTCTCTCTTTCTCTTTTTGTTCTGGTTGCTGAGAAGTTTATGAAGACCCCACATTTCATTGGAAGCACTAAATACAACGGACAGCATGGATGCAACTAGACGATTTGAACTTTGCAGATGAGATAGCTCTTCTATCCCATACACGCTAACAAATGCAGATGAAGACAACTAGTGAAGCAGCAGCCTGTGCATCAACAGGCCTCAACACATACAAGGCATAAATTACAACACGGTGAACACCAATACAATCATACTTGATGGAGGAACTCTGAAGGAAGTGTAAAATTTCACCTACCTGGACAGCATCATCGACGAACAGGAAGGATCCTATGCTACCGGAAAGGCAAGGATTGGCATAGAAAAGACAGCATTTATACAGTTGTTGAACATATGGAACTCAAAACAACTGCCAGTCAATATCAAAGTCACAATCTTCAATACGAACGTGACGACAGTTCTACTGTACGGAGCTGAAACGTTGAGGACTACAACAACCATAATCAAAAAGTACGAGTATTTATACACAGTTGTTTATCCAAGATACTCCAGATCCGTTGGTCAAACGCAGTCAGTAACAGTCTACTGTGTCAGAGAACAAACCAACCTCCAACAGAATAGGAAATTAGGAAAATATTTCGAAGACGGATAAAACATAAATTGTGAAAATCATGAAATCGCATTACGAGGCAAGCGTTAACTTGGAGTCCTGAAGGGAAAGAATAAGAAGACTAAAAACATGTTGAGTCAGGGATTGGAAGCAGACATGAAAAATATTAATAGCAACTGGAAGCATCTGTAAAGGACTTTACAGTACAGAGCTCGATGGGTATGCTGATGAGTGGTCTATGCTCCTCCACGAGATGTAACAGGAGTAAATAAGTAAGTAGTAGACTTCGATAATTTGATTAATATGCCAAAATACAAAACTCAGTTTTCATGAGATGTATTCATCTCATGTTAAATTTATCAACTTTCGCAGAAGTGAGTATAAATGCTAACAGATAGAGCTGGTAATTAATCATTAGCTCTTTTCTCCTTTATTTATCTAAAGATTGAGATTATTTCACATTTGAATCGACTTGAATAATTGAGATGTTTTTATTTTTAGCCTTCACAATTATAGACTAGTAGACAGTTCAGAAGTTTTTCAGAGTTACACATGTGTACAGTTTTAATTTTCCTCACTTAACTAAACATACTAATTTTATTTTTCTCTTTTTTCAAAATAAATCTCATTTGCTAAGCGAACGACGTCATTAATTTTTAGTTTTGATAATAAATCTGTGTTTTACAATTTTGTTTAAATTTCTCGTAAAAACATGGGTTTCATTACTGAAATATGACCGATAAACTGATCTGATATTAAAGTACTTAAATCAACTGGTCTCTTTGATGAATCTCGTTAGTGTAATTAGAATAATAATCTTGGTCTTCTTATTACACTATCGAAATTAAAGTATTTCTCAATAGATGGTGTCATTCAATACTAATGATAAAGAATAAACTTGTTACATTTTTATCAATCCTGTGTAAAAATGTTTTGATTTATTATTCTACTAGGGTTCAATACAGTCTATTTCATCGTTTATTGTGGGGAAAAAACTAAGCTGCTATTAATATTATAGAATTTTAAATGAATTGGAAAACACTAATGCTTTTATGCATGTAAATTTTACTGTTTTCTTAAAGGATATACAATAATATGATATATCTATTAGTCTCTGACCTATGTATGCATGTATCTATACGATATTTTCACTTTCCTTCTATGAAAGTGATATCCATCTAACAAGCGGTGACGATGATTATAAATTCCCGTAATCTTCAATAGTTTTTGTGTCTTATGATGGTACTTTAATGGATATATAACTACATTATAATATAGGATGAATCATTTCATAAAACAACTTACAAATGTTTATTCAATTTAAAACAACAGTTTCCAAGGATACAATTTACAAATTTATTACCCAATAAGACATTAAAGAGGAAGATGTATTTGTAAAATCTCAGCGAAAGAATTTGAAGTAAATCCAACGTTTCGCCTGGCAATCTGGTCCAAGCTATTTCAAGGGAAATATAATCAAACAACAAAATTATCGAGTATAAATAAGTACATGGTTCTCTGGTTTACTGTATTCAATCAAGGTTAACAATTTTTAAAGTATGTATTTACGTTAGTGTGTAAGAGATATGTGATGTGAAACGCAAAGTGTTAAGATAACAAATTGTATGTATACGTAAGTGAGAAGGAATTTCATTCAACTAAGATTACATTCAACGTTGGATTTACTTCAAATTCTTTCGCTGAGACTTTACAAATACATTCTTCTTCTTTAATGTCTCATATTAACTCGGCGCCCAAATACTGTGAAACTATTCTTTCGAATTTAGACGAAAGTTCTTATTTATTACCCAATAACTTATTTGTTAAAAATGTAATGTTTCTTTTCTAATTTGATATGCATTATAACAATAACAGCTGTGTGAAATAGTTGTAACAATTATAGTCAAATGATTAGTGTTTGTGATCAAAGCAGTTGCCGAAATAGCCTTGTTTTGGTCTGTAAGTAATCCTGAAAAGGAATACTTCTGAATCGTTTCCTACAATTTCTTAAATAATACAGAAATAAAGGAATAACAAATCTAATGTATTTTTTTTCATATGTATTAAAGTATTAAAGTCACACAGACCAGCAAACCAAATAATTGTTCCTTACAAAGAACTCAATTATCATCCACTTTGTGTTTTTATCATCACATAATTTCATGAGTACAATCATAAATGTCTATTATTTTATATGCATATATATAGGTCTACATATTCTCTCTATTGATAGATATACTATGAATGATTTGATTATAATTTACGGTCATACTACTTAAATATATACTAAAACATTCTGTTCTCGACGATGTATCAACGGCGATAGTTGTTAAATTTTTATTTCAATAAAAACAATTATACATGTGTTGGTCGATATGAATCTTGGTAAATAATTGAAATAATTGATCATAATACCATGCCTGTCATGTCGTTTAACTTATTTGGCTAGAAGAGGTAGATTTATTATGCTTATAATTGGTATCGAAAACCATAATTATATTAAAAAAACAAACACACTCATCAATTACACTCTGTAACTATATTACACAATAATAAGCTAACATAAATATGATCATGTGTGCATTTGTGCTTCGGATTCTAGTTTTATAGCATTTGTGCATGTGTTAGTGAAAGCAGAAACACTGTCACATACAATATGTTGAGAGTATATATATAGGATTAATCAATTTTGTTTTGTATACTGGAAACTCTTTAAAAATTCTTTACGTAAACAATTAAAGACTCTTGGCAATAAATATCGACAAATTCTCTTCATTAAAAAAAAATAATAAATCAATTCAAATAGACAAGTCAACCTACTATGCCAAGAGCGATTAAAAGACTCCCAGAAGCTGAAGATTTTGAAAAATGCCATCATAGGCAAGTGTTGGTTAACACGTTTCTAGAAGTAAGTTCACCTTACACAATTGGAAGTTTATTGTAATGTCCATTTTTACATCTGTTCATCTAATTATTAGTATAAACAGTTGAAAGTTTAATGATTTATTTGTTCATTGTGGACTGCAATAATAATTAATTCTTCGTTGGCACATAAACTCCTTGGATGAGTGAGTTGATAATGCCATCAGCTAACCAATGATTAACTTTTGTGTGATAAATTCAGATTTCATTCAGATCTAAAAAATTGTCGATTTGCAGCTCCTTCAAATATCGAGGCATCAGCCTATGGAGTTCATATTTGCTGAAAGTTAATTTAAAAATAAGACTCTTAATATTAACAAAGGGAAAGTACAAGCAGAGGTAGATAAAACTATTCTAATTGGAAATCTACTTTTTATTATCATTTGTAGATAGGTTAGTCGAACTTCCATTATTTAGACGAAAGTCACTTGAATTTCGAAATGCAGAAACTATCGTCACACATTTTTGCAAAGATGCTTGTTGTTCCGTGAAGCCACTAGTTATTGGTCTGAACCGTGTTGGTTAGCATAGACTATGTGGTTGAGGTCTGCATGATTATCGTAACTAATGATTGGATACAATCGCTGATGTAAACTGAGGTCTTTCATAGTGCGGTAAATCCGTTTTTAATGATTTTTGCATAGAAGTTCAGTTCCGAAGATATTTTATATTTTAGAATTTCTTGAGTTCCCTCTTGTTTTCTGAATCAAACTGTCAATATATGCTCTTCTCAGCTACCATTAACACCGTTAATAATCCTACTCCTTTAGAATTTATTTTAATAATTTCATATTGTTGTGTACATGCGGTGTGACAAATCAAATAGATATAAATAACTGTCAAATTCTACGTTGTTTATGAATGGCTGATGAATCGCTTTGGGTCTATTGACAAATAATGTCTAGGGCTTCTGCATGCCACTTTTTTTGATAATTATAGCATTGAGTTTATTTCATATCTATTGTGTTAAACGTCGAACACTTTAATTAAGGCACAGGATTATTTGAGTTGATTGATAATTATAATGAAAGTTTAATAATAACGTTTGTATAAACAACTAGGAGTGAGATTTACAACAGCAAACTTCATTCTCCACTTATTATTGTTAATTCCGTTTTCCAAATGTTTATAGCCAAATTTATCCATAATGCGTTGATCCAAACAAAGATAAAGTGATTGATTACTGAATGATAGAAATTGTTAATATTAAATGCTTATCTATCAGGTTGGTCTAAAGCTCCGAGTAAATTATTGATAATTACGGAAACAAATTCTACTGCCATATTCAGTCGAGGATTAGTAAAAATTTGTAACTTATCTCATTGCATTATATCAATATTTAAAATCAAATAACACTATGTCCGTTAACACTAAGCGAGCAGTTGATGTTGACATTATTGTTCTACAGAGATTACAAACCGAATAACATACTGGTAATGTCTGCAATTGTAACTTTGAACGATGAAGGTTGAAACAGTAAGGGCAACGTTAATCATTACAATATTTTATATTTTTTCTACTGATGACAGCCAACGTTTATGAAATCTAGATTTTAACCACACAACTCCAGTATATATATTATCGTCTGGGTAATTAGCTCATGTTTTGATCGAATTACTGATGAAATAACGAGTTTTATGACAGGTCATTTAAAGGTAAATTCTTTTATATTTTATTTTTCTACGGATATACTGAATAACGTGTAAACACATATTCATGAGCACCAGTGAAAATTATAGTAATGATAATTTTTAAAGTTGTACACATCAAAAAATAATAAAACTCTTCAGATTCGTGAATAAATACCGTCATAAAATTATAAGAAACTGATGTTATATTACTCACTTACTTACACCTGTTTCCCCTCATGGAACATAAGACTCTAACTATGCACTCTCCTTTCTAGTTGTTCGCAAGTGCTTTACATTCCCTTAATGTCTGCCTCGCGTTCCAGACTCAAGATGTTCTTTAGTCTGACTATTTTACCATTTCCTTTGGAATTTCAAGATAGGGCTTCTCTAGTGATTCAGTTTAATGATTCACGCAATATGTGCCCTATCCATATATATATATATATATATATATATATATATATATATATATATATATATATATATATATATATATATATATATATATATATATATCTTTTTACCTGTATCCAGTATATTTAGTATTGTCCGCCTCAACTTACATCCTAACAACGATAAATAGGTTTGATATGTAAAATTTCATACTATTCCCATTGTTATTATAAATTGTTATTCATATTTCATGCTATACAAAACGTATAATTTGTAAGTCTAAAATCATGTGAAAATTATGTTTAATTAAGTAAGGATGCATCTAGATAATTTTATATTTTAGAAATCCATGCATTTATTAAATCCAAACTTAAACATACCAAATGGATATGCTACAAAAGTGAATGACAAACCATCAATAAATATGAATAGTCAGACAATGTAAGTTGTTTCATTATTATCTTTACATTATGTTAGATAAATTATTTGTATACTTAATCATTTGATAACATTTAATTATATCTGAGTATTACATTGTTATATTTTTCTAAAAAAATTCACTTATGAATATTTATAACGAACCGTGATTTTCATAAATTTAATTGAATTTATACTTATATCATTAATTTTTATAGTTGTCATTCCTGACTGGCTTCAAGTGATATTTTCTGGGGTTCTTGTGAGATGCAGTGATCAGTGAAGCTCAACCGACTCTGTTGTGAGATAGTAACTCATTGACGACAATGGTGGATGTGTCGCGCAATTTCGTGGATTAGTTGAAGTTAGACGTTAACACCGTTGGGTGCCGGCCCAGTGGTCTAGTGGTTAAGTGCTTGCGTGCGAAATCAGTAGGTCCTGGGTTCGAATCTCGCAGGAGGCGAGGTCGTTGATGCGCACTGCTGAGGAGTCTCACAATAGGACGAAACGGCCGTCCACTGCTTCCAGATTTTCCATTGTGGCCTAGCTTCAACTTACTCATGATCTTAGCCATTGAAATTCCTATAAGACTCAAAGATTCAGTAAATGTACAATGGTCCTTCTACCTAATATAGAAATATTAAGTAATACATAAAAAACGTTTATTATTACTTTATAATCATGACAATGACTTATAGATTTTAACACTTTTACTATATGAGATAAGAGCTTATTCCATAAGCTTTTTTCGATTACACTGTAGTGAACAGAACACAGGTGGGGACAATCGAATGTATTTAACACTAAATTACATGATTTGTTAGTAAAATCTAACAATCATAAAGTAAATGCTTAACTTGCAAAATGTCCATCGATTGTCTCATGATGACTCAGACATCATTGTTCTTGCATTTCTCATACAAATCACATCCTGTTTCCATTTTTTAGTGTTCGATCCTCTTGTCTCTCTGCTGCTAGTCCTTCTTTTCACGACTAATATCATATACTACTTATGTCAATATAAGTAGCACACACCACAACACTATTGTCATTTCAATTGTTCATTATACAATGAAAGAACAAACAAACTATTTTTACATCAGAAATTAAATGACAAAGTATACAATATAAAGATATAATTATCTTTTTTTTAATATCTGTATTCTGAACATCATATTTACATGAATGGAACAATAGTCTTCAGTAATTTATGTACTATCTTTCAACTTGATAATTTAGGATAATTAAAATCATTCTATGAAAGATAACCTTATATAAACATTATTTTAATTTTTTTTTTATAGAAGAATGATATTTACGTATGATAATTTGTAACTTAACAAATCTAATCAATCTATCTGATAGTAACAGATTTCAATGGATTTACAATAAAGCTGAAAGATTTTTCAAAAAGGATGTTGTTATGTCCTTTTGGTCTGTCTACTCACTTTTGGTGCTGAGGGTACTTATCTAATACAGATTAAGACCTTGGCGCGATAGGCTGACCGGCCTAACCTTGAGGCTAGTACTCGTGAGTTCGAAGTGGGTAGAGAGAAAACTATTCTATCACCTGATTGGCTGACAAGCACACAAATGAGAGAAGACAAGACAACCGGAACACCACTCGATCTATCCCCGACATCCTGATTTCAGTTCGGTTTAGTGTAAAAAGGTACATGAATAAATAAGTGGATAACCCGACCAAAACGTACGTTAATTAGGAAAAATACAATTATATCCAAAGCTGGGGCTTAGAGTAGAAAATAGGGTGCAAAGTATTATGTTTAAATTACAATAGCTTCGTAATAGAAAAGAGTATCGCAATGAATCATACATCGAACGAAAGCTTATGTTCTGTAGAATAGATTATGGAAAAAATGTTAGTGTTTTACAAGCCTTAAATAAAATAGAATAACGTCCTGAAAAATAGTTTTCGTAGTTTGTCAGGGCTTCTTGTTTCCCTGTTCACATCAGACGTTAATTTCAAATATCGCAAATATGCATATATCTTCTTATGAAGTAATACATTGAAAATATATTTCAAAAACTATATCTAATCGAGGATAGGTTTATTGGTTTTTACATATGACAAGTATACTAATAAGTATCATGTCATATTTATTATAGATTACGTTGTGAACGAATTTATTTATGACTTAACCAATCGACTTGATATTAGAAAGAAGAAAAAGGATCCTAAACTATTGATGTTTTCTATTATTTTTACGTAGTGATCATTTAACGTACATCATATCTGATATCAGTTTTTTGATATCCCATTAAATCTGTAAAATTAATTGTATTCAAACTACATATTGACAGTTTACATATAATACATCCTTTTATCCTTCGACATTACCCTTTATATATGTTATTTTCATTATGCTTATTGTTTTATTTTGTAGGGCACAAAAAGAAATTGATTGCATAAAACAATTCGAAAGACAACTTCCACCAGAATATCCATGCATTACAATATATTTTTCTGATATGGAATGTGATCTAGAAAGGAAATGTATATTGTATATTGTAAGAAGATGGGATCGAGACGATCCATTTGTTAGTATGTCACCATTTTTGAATGAATTAGAAAGAGATTATGGTAGAGGATGGAAATTTGAACGAGTTACTAACCCAATTAAAGTTGGCCGTATAAGTACTTCAACAAAACCTAAATCAACCTTTTGTTTTCGCTATGAACCAGATTGTTATATATATAAGTTTTATAGCGATTAAGAAACTGAACAGCAAGGGTTAATTTGAAACAATACAAATTGATATCAAACTTCAATACTTGTTGTTTTTCTTCATGTAACGTATGAAGTCTTATAATAATGCGTTCTCTGTTTTGGTGTTATTGTAGAAACGATGTAGTGTGGACTAACAAGTGAAGAGTTCGTTAAATTCATTTTATCACTTTATTCGCTTCTGATAAATAATTTTACTCGTAAAGGATAAATCACTATGAAAATGTTGTTGAACGCTTGTATTTATAGCGAAATGATATTTAGTCAGTATAAGATAGTAACCAGTCCTTCAATTCTGATGGAAACAGTTTAGGTGTAAGTAACGAAGAAATTTCTTTTTCTCGAATGTCTAACAGCAGTGTTTTACTTAAAAATGCTGAAATCAAAGATGTTATATAATTCAATAACGTGATCCTTGAATTCTAGTATCCATGATAAATATATCAACTACATCAGTAAAATTGTTTTGAATCTACAAAAATCCAGAGAGCTGATACTGTTACATGTCTTACAAGGTGGTTGTCCCGTGAATGTTAAAACTAAACATAATATATTAGCATTGATCTAATGTTTTCTTATCAAAGTGTATTCCGATTCTGTTTGCCTGCTTTACTGTGTCTAAGGCTATTTGACTGCTCACACACTATAATAATAGTACAGGTTTATGACTCACGATCACTAATCATCAGTGTTCAGCCTCGAAACATACTAACCATTTCTCTGCCTAAAAAATTGAAAATTACAATATTACTAATAACAAAAGTTAATCTTAGACTATTAAGCAAATAAACGGAATTGTACTTCATCTAATGAATGAAACAAATCATAAAGTTTGATAAGTCCTTTGTCAAATATTTTATACAAACTTAGTTATATAGAATCAAATGGAAAGGATCAATATTTATGTCTTCCAATACACAAACAGCGAAATAATAATAAATTATGGTTGAAATTTGTTAACATATCACATACATATTAAGAAATCACACTATCAAGTTAAAACAAAAAAATATAATGATTAAGCTTTCTTTTTGGATACAGTAATTTTAAAATAGAAAATGAAACCAGAAAATGGACCACCTAGTTAAATATGAGATTTTATAGTACAGTGATCGATCCTACAGATGATTATTATAAATATTACAGAAGCTAAAAGACAAGAAAATAATAATAATCAATCGTTTCAATGTGTTTATTTCGCAGTTATATTCCCTTTTCTATGTTAACTTTTCGATATCAGTAAGAACTCAAGAGTAATAATATGTAAACAGAAATAATAAATAATGAATAGCTTAAGAGATTAGGAATGAATGAATAAATTCACTAGAAATAAGACACTTTAAGAACTTGAATTAAACTTTCTTTACAATTCAGTTTATACATTAGTTTGGAGATGAAGCTTAAGATATTTTCGAAGAGACTGTAGCGTGGTGTCGAGTTGAGATTAACTATGAACACCGCTACCAAGAAACACGTGCCAAGCGAATCAGAAGGCGTAAGAAGCTCGTTCCAAATGACTCCATAAAATCCCCGAGAAGCCGAATACCAGAAGTCAGTTAATGGACCAAGTCGAGGTTTATTAGCTGGCGATCTCGTGGCATCGAAAGGATACCGAGATCGTGCCAGGATACAACCTTGGTTACAGAAGGTAACCGAATTCGCGCGAAGTTACAATCAAAGTGTGTGTATCAGAATGGAAGCACAAAGTAGCTGTCATTAGCACAGTCAAACAAAAGCACGTTAAAACAAACACTGGTACAGTTGGTTATAATAATAATTGTTTTTATTAAACCAGTCGTGTTCTCGTGATAAACGTGAGTCACTACAAGACTATAGTTTATGGACAACGTTTGAGCAACGCTAGACTGACCTTGAGAGTGTCTACCTGATAACTATGACTAAATGAGGGTTATAAATTAGTATGAGGATTTTTAATAATGATTTTCACATGATGGTTGAGGTTATGACTTAGATTTAGGGTTTTCATCACGAACTGACATAAGCTATAATGCTATAAATCTATTTAGCCAAACGGTTGAATCCGAGACCTGTTATCTTATACACGATTGGTTCATTCATAAATTATAGTCTCTAATTTATGGACGAGAAAATCAGAACCGTTTGAGCAATTTCAAGGTCACGGAGCCAAGTTCAACACCTGATGCTCACATACGATCGGTTTACAGCGGATTTTAGAGAAGAGGTGATTATTGAGCGGCTACAATAGATGAGACTACTAAGAAGTTCCTGTATCTGTGACTGCGATTATCAAATGACTTCAGTAAAGTGTGCAGACTATCGTGATGAGATTGTGTTTCGCTGTTCTTTATGCTGGTGGAAAAAGTGTGCTCGAACGGCGACTTTCTTCGCTCGATTGCGACTGAAACTGAGGCAAATCATGATAATAGTTTCAAATTAGATAATAAAGACACCAGTAACACTGGCTGCGGTGTTTGCAGATGTTACTGAAACTTCAGCAGTCCATTGGTATGAGTATTGTCGTGACATATGTGCACTTAAAATGACACGTCTACACCAATCATTTGGAGGAGTAGGAAGTATTGTGGAGATAGATGAAACAGTACTGAGAAAGCGAAAATTCAAACAGGGGGCTTAGTATCAAGGAAGATTGGGTAAGTAGCACTTCCGTAAATATACTTGAGAGGTACTTGGAATTAATGATCGATCGACGCAAAAGGGGCATTTTCAGAGGGTCAGAAACCGGCAAGCAAGCACGATAATACCAATTATACAGGAATACGTGCAGCCGGGCACTACGGTATATACGGATGATTGGAGAGCTTATCGATGCCTTCATAGACTTGTTTATGTCCATCATGTCGTAATGCATAAACGTCATTTTGTCTACCCTACTACTGACGCTCATGCTAACAACATTGAAGCCATGTGGTTGAGATTGAAGGAATTTTTAAGACAACCACGGTTCTAGAGGACGACTATTATGGAGCCATATGGACGAGTTCCTATATCGCATGCATTATGATTTCAGAACATCTGAATTTTTATCAAACCTTAACAAGTTTTTAAATCATGTAAAAGAAGAATATCCACTGTAATTCAATAGTTTCTTATAATATATTTTTACTTTATATTAACTGTCTTCTGATTGGCTAATAATTGTCAAGGTCATTTAAGATTCGTTCAAGGTTCGTCCATAAATTAGAGTCTCACTAACTATTATCACCCTATGAACTTATGAAAATCAAGGATCTTTAAACTGTTGTTTTGTTCTAACTTGAAACTGCTCAAATGAATCCATCCAAACACTCCGTTTTCGTCTTTTACTCTTAAAACAAACTAAGATAAGCGAGTTTAAATTAAGCATTAACTATTTCAAGTATTTGACAGATTAAAGAATCGAATCTTATTATGTATTGACTTAGAACAAATTTACTCTGTTCATTGTAAACTAGATAACCTGGGAGTACACAATAATCTTTGAGTGGTAAAACATAGTGAACTGGAGATTTTTATATTTGAGGTTAGATCTAATACATTTTTGTCTGTAACTTATTGACAAAAGAATAATGTACTGAGTTTCAGCAGAATTACTTCAAATTACATAAACCAGACCAATATGATCGTGTGCTGAAAAAATACTTCAATAGGTTTTGTGAAAATCCTCAAATACTTTTTTCATTCAAAAAGCTGCACAAATGGGACTGCAGATCTGTAGCGTTTAGTAATACAATTAAACACACTTTTTAATAACTTATCGTGTTATTCAAATTTATTTGTTACAACCATGACCGTATTTTAATAATGATTACAAGGATAATCATAGAACACGAAATAGTTGAAGAAACTAAGACCATTAAAGTGACAGATGACATTGTCTCTCAATTAGAAGACTGTATAGAGATTCATTCAATAATTATTTTATATTGGAATGGTGCCCTCTACTGTACTCTCAACCGTAACAAAGAGCAAATACTTTTGTCAGTAAGATTGTATACCAAACAATAAGTGAAAACACTTGTATCCGGCTCCATTTCTATAATGTATGTTTCTTTAAGTATGCACTTTTAATACAATGTATTTTAATTATATTTCAACTAAACTCTATGTATCATTCTAAGACATGTAGAAAACAATTGTTACCTTAATTCTGAGTGACTGAATAATCACACAATAAGTTTTTTGAATAATACAAACATAAATACATCCTAAATCTTATGGAACTTCTAATAAGTGTATACATACAATGTAACCTTGAAACTATAACTTGATGCCAATCATGACTACAAGTACGATTTCGAAAACTAAAAATTTTAAAGAATAATTATAGAAGTATCAGTAATTCAACACGAATAGGATAATTAAATTTGATTATCTTTATTTCTACAATCTAGTTCATGCTTAATTGAAGGAATAAAAAACATCATCTCTTCAATTAGTTTATGCTAACTGGATTTAAGAACATTTAAATTTGTAAGGATACTTAATCTAGTAAAATTTCTTGATCGCTCATATATGATAGAATATATTTTGTTTACTTACGATGTTCCTAAAAATAGTGATTTCACCGATTAAACAAAATGAAGGCATTCTCAAATGTATTTCTGTAAATAGAGTAATCAGAATACCCGAGAGTTATTGAACAAACCTTGAACGGTACAGTAAAGTAAATGTTTGATATGAATGCGAACCGTCTATATGCATCTCGAGAATACACTGAATTATAGTGTTTGAAAAGTTATTCAAATAAAAAAATGGCAACATATCCAATAGGGGATCATTGAAATTATCAAGCGGAGCGTACTTTCATCCCGACTTTATATACAATCTTAATTCGGAGAAAACTATGAGGGTCTTTAAAAATTGCTAATCCCTACCCACGGAACAACCATGAACTGCCGAATGAGGCCAGAAGACAAGAAAATAAGTGAGTTCTTGAAATCTCTATGCTTTCGTATGACGTCCTTTTAATGAGACCATATTTGTTTATCTTATCACAATGTTAAAATTGTGTAGTCCTAATTTTTCTCTCTTCTCGAAACAGCACACTTGGAGCCCATAAG